ACTATATTTGTGTTTTATACATCTTATAAATCTCTCATTTATATTGGCATATCATATCTCCTACCAATGATTGATGGCCCGGACCAATGCTTGCATAGACACGCAATATTGATTTATGTAAGGTGATTTTACTCCGATATATATAGAAGACAATAATCGTTGTACCCTGGTAGTTTGTAACCAGAGCGAGGCTAGTGTTATAAAATGATATGGAATGTATGGTAGCCGGCATAAGCGTGGTTACAGTGTACATAAGTGATGACCATTCGGATTATCTTGTTTTCATAAAATGTGCAAACTCAATGGTGGGTGGACCCTGTACCCAGAGGTTGTATAATGGTCATTGTAGTGATCTAGCTATTATATAGGGCAGTGGCCGACATTGTATTGGAGATGAAATGAAGAGCCTCCTGTCACGTCGCATTGTGAGCTCTGAGATTTAACTGAGCTCTGAGGCTTATTTTTTCTTAGCACAGCAAAACTTCTCAACGTTTTCTATGTTATGTCACGTGATCTATATAACGGTTCCAGAACAAAGGCATACACAATACCTATTACAATTGAAGAGAACAAAGTGATTTTACTTGAGAAAACGAGCCAGACTCCTAGGTCCTGTAATAAAGCATTCTGATTTGTCGAGGTGCACTAGGTAGGATTTAACTACCAGTTCAATCGGAAACACAAAATTGACTGAAATCAATGTAGCAATTAAAAAACAAAACAAAATTAATGAATTAGATTGCAATTTTTAATTTTCACTGAGTCATGTAATGCGAATATTCAGTAAACATACGACCAATGTTTATGACAAAGAATGCTGGATATTACAAACTCTCGTCGTTGATGGCATACTACCAAATGGTTAATTTTAAACAAATAATCGTTAGGCAGATAGTAAAATTGTATTTCAATGACTATAGATTATGTAAGTAACAGTCTGTATGATATGTGGATATATCAAACCCAGACGCCATATCGTCGAATAATATTTTCTAGAGATTGTATTTATAATGTGGGTGGTGGCTTGTTATTGTTGACGTTGTAATC